TGAACCCTAACAAGAGTGTGGCGATGCAATTAAATAACTACGATGATTCGTATTGCTACACAATATGTGGATTTGTGTTACCCAAAGTAAGAAACTATTAAGATTTAGGAGTCATACTAAGCAATGATCTCAAAACAACCAACTGTAAGGCTGCTGCTGCAAAAAGGTGTAAGATATTATGGTTTATTCGTAGATCTTTCCAGTATTTGGATGAGGAAAGGTTTAGATTATTATACCCCACTTTCGTGTGACCACATTTGGAATATGGTATTCAAGCAGCGAGTCCTAGTTCCAAATATGAAGCGGACATGCTGGGAAGAGTCCGACGCCGAGGGACTAAATTGGTTTAAGGTCTATCTGGCTTATCTTATGAAGACAGACTGAGACACCCCAACTTATTTCCGTTATCTTACTGTAGAATACGAGGTGATCTAATATTGGCTTATCGTATCCTGAACGATGACCTTGGTACTAATGTCCTATCTTTCCCTTCGTCTAGGATTGATCATTTGAGAGAGCATTCGAAGAAAGTCCAAAAACCCAGATCAAATCGTCTACGTCTGGAGTTTCGTTTCTCGCACCGAGTAGTGAATTACTGAAATTCTCTACCAGAACACGTAATATCAACACCTGTTGATATATTCAAGACGAGATCGGACCTCCACAGTGCAACAAATCTGCAAGGATTAATATAGGTCAATAGACCTCCAATCCTTATTACTGAAGATCCACAGCAGATAAACTAAAGCGAAACAGTGAACATCCACTCGCAAAATCGTTCAGTGTCGCAACTGACAGACATTTCCTGGAATATATCACTACTACTTTCTGTGATTACGACCAAGGATACGTTCACAAAACAAACGCTTGACTAAGAATGTTCCGCAACTTTCCGGTCCCAGTTAAAATGTCAAAAACCAGTTAGGGTGATCTAGATTTTTGCTCTTTGTAGTGAGATGGTATAAGACTGTCTTAAAAATTGTATTATCATATAATTAATTTGGTTTCCTATTACTGCTTTTAAGACTAAAAACGCTCCTGGTAAATTCTCTAACCTAATGTATAAGACTGTTTACCAGGACTGATTTCTTCTGGTAAGCAGAATGTATCTGAAGACCATCTCGTGAATTAATTAATTTATTTAAACACATATATATTGGTACAAAAGGGCACCAGGTACATATGCGCCACACAAAATAATGAAAGTAGGAAGAGAAGGGATGAAAAGATAAGGCGGACTAAAATGTACAACCAGAAGACTCTTTCAAATAGGAAAGTAAGAACCATACTTTATGTAGAAAGTAAAAGAAGGTTGCAGCAGGATCGCCACTGGTTTCTATTCTGAGCCATATCTGATAACGTCTCTAGCCACTGTGTTGCACTATCTCTCGGACCCCAACCAAGGAGTCGTGAAGGACCAACAGAAGCTAGCCCTTTGCAGCTCTCTTTCATGCCACGACACCATGTCATACACTGACCTCCTCTCCGCTTTCTCCAACCAGTCCCAGGGTCGGCAAATAATGCACGACGTGGAAGTCTCTGGGACGACATTCGTAAAACATGTCCAAGCCACCGAAGTCGGTGTTTCAAGATGGTGACACCAAATGAATTATCGTCTCTGTGCCCGAACACACGATACCGAACCTCTGCATTACTAACATGGTGTTGCCACTGGATGTCAGCAATCCTTCGGAGACAACGATGATCGAACACAGAGAGACGTCTAACATCCTCAACTCGGAGAGGCCAGGTTTCACAAGCATAGAGCAAAACTGCTCTCACCGACGCGTTGTAAATCCGACTTTTTACAGCCAGACTAACATCACGAAGGCGCCAAAGATGGCCCAGATTGGCATAAGCCGATCTGGCTTTCCTTATACGTGCATCAATCTCATCACTCACGCCACCACCAGCACTTATATAGCTACCTAGATACACGAACTTCTCAACTACTTCGATCTGCTCACCATCCAGGGTGAGTACAGGATTAGAATCCTGCCAGTCTTGTAGAAGTACTTTGCACTTGGAGGGTGCAAAGCACATGCCGTACCTGCGGACACTGATTGCCAACTGATTAAGTGCTGATTGCATGCCTTGGGCATTATCGCACAGTAAGACAATATCATCCGCATACTCAAGGTCGAGAAGTCGTTCTCCAGGCAACATATCCACACCGCCATTACTTACATCCATCAGAGCTGTTTCCAAGATGTCGTCGATGGCAAAGTTGAAGAGGAATGGTGAGATCGGGCAACCCTGCCTAACCCCACTGCTCGAATGGAACAAGGGAGAAAGGTGGTTGTATGCCCTCACTCTGCCTGAGGTGTTCGTGTACAGGGCCTTTAAGATGTTAATGAACTTCTCAGGCACACCCTTCTTCAATAGACAATCCCAGAGAACAGTCCTGTCCAACGAATCGAAGGCAGCCCTGATATCAAGAAACACTACGATTGTTGGCCTGCGATAAGTATGACGGTGTTCTAACATTTGGCGGAGGGTGAAGATGTGATCAATGCATCCTCGACCAGAACGAAAACCAGCCTGCTCCTCGCGAGTCAATCGTTCTCGGGTTTTAAACAACCTACGAAGAATGATAGAAGCCAATAGTTTGGACGCAATCGGAAGTAGACTTATCCCCCGATAGTTATTGCAGGAACAACGCGAACCCTTTTTAAAGATAGGGACGACTATTGACTCATTCCATGATGTTGGAACACTTTCTTGCTCCCAAACCTTTCCAAACAACACAGTCAATTCCTTAGTCAGAAAGTCGCCGCCATCTTTAAAAAGAGCCGGATGTAAGTCATCTGGGCCAGGTGATTTGTAGCGCTTCAAGAGTTGGAGTTCCTTGCGGACTTCCGCCTCGTTTGGTGGATCAGTCGTCACCGGCCATGGGGGGCAGGACAAGCTGGTTGATGTTGCCGGAGCAACAGGCCAGTTGAACTGCCCTTCGAAAAATTCCGCCCATCGTCCAAGACGTCGGGAGATGTTAGTGATTGGCATCCCATCATCCTCGTAGATTGTTTCACTCACACAAGACTTCTTGCTGCCAGTGGCTCGGATGAGTTGGAAGAGCTTCCGGCAGTTACCAGATGCAGCTGCTGCTTCCATCTCATTAGCACGCTCCGACCACCAGGCTTCCCGGTCCTTACGCAAGCTTTGCCCAATTTCATTACGTAACAGCCTTCGTTTGTGGTCAAACTCACGGTCACCCGGAGTAGACCGACGGGCTTCCATCAGTTGTAAGGAACCAGAAGAAACCCAGTGCTTGTAAGCGGGACGTTTCGCGAAGCCGCAAGCGGCTTTACTCGCCATTTTCATGGCGTCGTGAAGATGCAACCAATGCTCATCTATACTTTTCGGTGGGGTGTTAGCTAGCCTAGAGGCTAGCTCGGCTCTATACTTACTCGCAACAGGAGTTGCAGCCAGTTTACTAATATCAATCCGTTGGTGGTGGTCAATCCTTCAGCCACTGAAAAGTAAGGTGAGATTGGCGCAGACCAGGGCATGATCAGACTCCAGATAGGTACTCCAAAAGGAGCGGCAGTCTTGTACACAACCACGCCAGCGGTAGCTGATCGCGATGTGATCAATCTGAGTCCAGGTTTGGGATGCAGAGGGAGGACGCCAGGTGGCACACCGGCGATGACTGTGCCGGAAGTTAGTGCTGGCCAGAAACAGGTTGTGGTCTGTGCACAGTTGCAGCAAACGGTCCCCGTTATCTGTCCTGCGACCAACAAGTCCCCATCGGCCACCTAGACGACTCTCTTCTGTGCCTAGACGCCCGACCTGTGCATTCAAGTCTCCGGCTAGTACTACAATATCTGTCGAACGCGCTTTCTGGAGAAGAACTGTTAACTGATGGTAAAACTCATCCTTGATTGCATCCGGGCTGCAATCTGTCGGGGCATAGGCGGAGATGACGAAAAGACACCGTTTCTCACGCCGGTTTCTTCTCAATTTGATGGAACTTTCTAATCTAACAGCACATAACCGACTGTTAATGGGGAACCAATCGATTAGTGCTGCCTCAGCCCTAGCGCTTAGTGCGACACCAACGCCAGCAAGACCAGACGAAGATGCCACAGGGTCCCCGGATAAGCGCACGTGGAACAAGCTTTTCGAGACAGATGGAGAGCGGATTTGTAGTACTTCACTAGAGTCTTGAATACGGGTCTCGGATAGACAACAAACATCAACGTTAAGACCTTCCAAAGACATAGCCAGTCCTATCTGTTGTCTGATCTGCATTAGTGTGCGAACGTTGAAGGAAGCCAGCTTGAACGGCGTACGCGGTTTCAGAAAGACTGGTTCAGTATTCGTAATCGGTGGAAGCATTCACTTTCGACCAGACAGTGACTGGAGATCGTTTAGATAGAACAGTTTCTAGCATGGGCGAGCTGCTGCATAAGTTGAAGAGTAAGGTTACACAAATTGGGGATAAAAGGGGGTGAATTAGCGATATGGTAAGTAATAATAATAATAATAGTAATAATAATGATAATAATAACGTAAATTGTCTTGCTTATAATATGAGCAGGAATAGAATCGTCAATAGAGTTCGTCATTTCATTCATTTGTGTGTGGGCTGTGATACTGCCCGGGTGCCCAAACCGAAGCAGGTGGTTTTCTTAGGGGGCCACACCCGGAGCCTTTGACCTAAAGGTCTGATCCACAAGGCAGTGGAGCATCGTGAGGAGATGCAGTCCCATGGTAGTCGTTGACCAATGACAGGTTCTTCCGCCATTCGTTCCATCAGGAAACTGGAGCCCATGTGCACCATTGGTTTGGGATCAGGGTTTTCCAACTCCCCTAGGTGGACCCTCCGTGTCCACCAATCCGGTTATAGCGCCGGACATTCGCTTTTCGTCCTCTCACTTTCGTAAACAACACCCCCGCCACGAGAAGGCAGTGAGTAGGACTTCCCTGGCGGAGGCTATATATTCGCTGGCCATATGAGAGCATTTCGAGAGGGAGAGTAGACTATCCCCACTCTCGGCCGTACCAGGGCATTTGGGGGCTCGTGAATGGACATACCTATAATACTATAAATAATTATAATTGCTTGCTGGATCACATTCAAACCCAAGCATCCGATAAACTAATGCTCCGTATAGTTCGGATTTGGACGTAACAGAACACCTTGAGTATTGGGGATGTTGATTTCCAACATTAAGGTGCCTATGGATTCTATGTCCAACAGAAACACGCGGCAGATTATGTTGCGACTGCGGAATTTCACTGAAATAATAAACGCAAAATAACTTCATTGAGTCCGTCCGAGATTTTATTATTGGTTATATACTTGTCACCATTGAGTGTAATTCGCGATAACGAGGCGCATTGGACTCAATAAGGAAAGTAATTCATTATATTAATACAACCGCAGGAAACAGCATTCGTACATAAATTACCGCCCTCAAGTTGCTCAGCAATATTTAAGTACAAACGCAGTTTTACATAACCATCCAGAACTAAACTGGCTAGGCAAGGCGTACCAAACAGGATAGTCTCCGACAGGCATCTTATCTTTGCGGCTAATATGTTTCACGACATCTGAACTGTTACTTCTTAGACGTAAACTGAAGCAACCAGCGATAATAGACTCACCATATTATTGCCTAGGTTCTAACTCGTCAGTCATCATGTGTACCGATTCAGACCCCGACTTATCAGCGAGACTGAATCATATGAGACCTGATTTAGCAGCCGCATTGAGGTAAGTTCTGCCATACACAAACCGGCCTGGTGCATACATCCGCTCTTATAATGCAGGCGTGAATTGTAACTAAACACCCACCCTAATGAACAAAGTATTTGCAAGACGAATACAATCGGATAACTGTTTAAGTAAATCAAAAAAGTGCACTCGAGAAAACGATTGTGGATTTTGAAATTAACTAAACCGAATAACGCACAAGTATTCATGCCAGGAATAATAGGAGTAACTTATGGCCGACCAACACAATACTTTTACTGCACATGTCTGTGCTGTTTCGACAAAAATCATAAGGCGAAGTCCAATGGATAATAGTTTATTTATGCAATCATGCTCTAGGAGCAACAGGTCGTGAGAACTTAACTCGGGGTTTAACTAAAATCCTTCTGAGACGCCTTGATTCCCGACTGCGATTTCGAAGAACTTTGCTGTGGATGGCACAACTGATACAGTATTGGAGTTTGACGTACAATTTGGGAACGGCATAGTTTTCTGGAATTAAGCATAGAAAAACATTAGGATGGCAGTGAACGCCATTTAAAAATGTGAACCTATTATATTAAGATTTGTACAGCCCGTATCTGTGTCAGTTGGTACTGTCATAACTGACTCTGCTAAAGCTGATTTTCATCTAGGACAATGAGTGGTTCCAGACTGCTCATGACCCGGAACGTATCCATGTCCAACAACTCATTTAAAATGAAACTTACTGCCATACACTGACGCATCTTCCAAATCTTTAACGGCAGCGGCTTCTACCATACTTCGTGTTACTAGTTTCCATACAGATTTATCTTTTGGACATGCTCGACCACAATTTGTGCAACGTATGAAGCCAACGTGACCTCGGCCTTTCTTCGACCTACCATGGTTCCTTCGTTTGCGAGTCTAATAGAAGACAATTATCTCCAACACATCACACCAACCACTTACCATGCCTTCGTACAACGTGCGCTCTTTGGTTGTGATAGGTACTTAAACAAATTAAGCACAAACTTCAATCCTCAATCGCGGAAAAGTGAAAATTCTTCATATCTCGACTCGGTATGTGAACGGAGAATCAGAGAATCTTATGTATTTATCTTAATCAAGGAATGGCTTTGAAAGAGTAGAAGGTTGACCAACAAAACTGACAAATGGGAAGCCGTCAAGCATCTCTTCCCTATACCATTTGTTGCAGATATTGTATTAGGGATTCTCTAAGTAAAATTTAACTGATACGTTCAACACAAATGAACAAGAGAGTGATTAAGAATGGTTCGAAGCAGTCAATATGAAGTCCTGGACCTACATTTTTTCTAGGTGGGTTTCGTCACAAAAAATTATCTGCCACATTTAAAAAACCACTGTTCGACTAGTAGCGGTAAATAAATACCCAAAATCAATAGTTCTGTAAGTCTTCGACATATATGTTGCTGACCACATCAGTTTTAATCGGTTCACCTAGCTGAAGGGCTCGGTCATGCATCCGCAACAGATAACGAGTGGGAACGCCGTGCTTCATTTCTCCTGCGACGGCTAACCAGTTTACATCAGTCACTTCTCGATATATTGATAACTTTTCAAATATACCTTCGAACCTATTCGCTCTTGACTTTTGATCTCATTGGGTTGGCACATTTTGATTATAAAGGTATTACTGGTCAAGGTGTTGTCAAACTCCGAATACTTATAGAATCTTTAGTGGAGAGTCCGACGTGATCTGGCACACCAATTTGCAAACTGCGTCTGTTCCCTTTTGGAACTTCATATATCAGTTTTAACTTTAACTTTTATATATTGTGATGTTTATTTTTGTATTTGTGGATTTATTTCCTCGTTTATTGCTATACTTCATGTTTATCATGACCGAACAGACTCATAAATCATTTAATATCAAGACTTTTACTCAACCCTCATTTCAGCTAATGCCATTCTGACTCGAAAACAACAGAAATGTTGCTGCGAATTAGAAAAGTCGTTGTTCAACGGACCTTCGTTGATGGTCTGTTTAGACAACTTTTCTTGCCTAAGCTTCCTCATTAGATGCAAGCAGAGCTTGTCTCGTTCCAAAACAAAGCCGTAGATAAACCGCATCTGCTGACCAAATTCTGAAAATTACCAGAACTTTAAAAGCCGAGGATTTTCAGTCAAAGAAAGACCTCAAACGACACGAAATGGCGCTACAAAAACTCTGTTAAACTCTGACACGTTACTTCAGTATTCTTCATGGCCATAGATGCTTACAAATTCCTCAAAAAAGTTCTTCACGAAAACGATCTGTTCCTAGACCACGAGAGGCAGATAACTCCGACAGGTGCTGGTATCATAATCACTACGGAAAATCATCTCAAAACTGCAGAAAACCCTGCAATTTTCCGAGCTCCAAAACGTTAGAGACGAAAAACTTTTCGGAAAACTCCACAGCTGGCATGTCTTAACGGGAACCGTAGCCAGTGAACATAGCCGTCTGTTATACATCACTGATATGATAACAAAAGTTCGCTAACTCGTCGACACTGTCACAGAAGTTAGTGTTTTTCTGCTGGGTTTACGCAAATCCATCCACTAGGTCTTCGTTGTTGCAGGTGTTTCTGTGCCAGTCATTGGTATACACTTTCTACAACATCATAACCTACTCATCGACATGCGGTTAGTAGACGGAAGTACTGATCTATCTGTTTGTTTAACTTTTTTCGGGTTGTGGATTATTCCCAGTCACAGTAAAATATACGACAGATCCATACTACCAACAAATACTCCATAAGTACTCTGAGATATACCAAACGCAACCGGAGTCACCATGTGTAACCAGCAATGTTGCACATAATATCACGACTACAGGACTACCTATATTCTCGAAAACGTGCCGACTGGCTCCCGTAAAGGTGAAGTTGGCCTAAAACAAATTCGATCATGTGATAGATTTAAGAATTATTCGGCCATCAAACAGCCCATGAGCATCTCCGTTGCACATGGTCCCTAAAAGGGACAGCTACGATTGGCGTCCAACTGGTGATTATCGGCGTATGAATGCGAAAACCGTTCCCGATCATTACCCGTTGCCTCACATTCACAATTTGACAGCTACATTGAAAAATTCAACTGTTTTTTTGAAAATCGACTTGGTTAAAGCATATAACCAAATTTCCATGGCTGTTGACGGCATCCTTATAACCTATATCATCACTCCTTTCAATCTCTACGAGCTCTTGCGCATGCCATTCGGCTTAAGGAAGCTTCCCAAACCTTCCAAAGGTTCATCGATGACGTTTTTCGAGGTCTCAATTTCGTACATGTGTATGCTGATGACTGCTTGATTGCACGTCTAGACAGAGAATCTCACCTCCTGTATACAGGCCTTATCTTCGAGCAATTGTAAAAACACCGTATTGGTGTAAACACCCATAAATGTCAAATCGGCACCAACTCCCTAGATTTTCTCGAACATACTATTGATGGTATCCGACCTCTAAGAAGCGAAGCGGCAGTTATTCTGCATTACCCAGAAAAGATTACGATCAAGCAACTGCCCACGTTTAATAGACTATTAAGTTTCTATCTACGGCTCATACCAAACCGCGCGTCTCATATTAAATTTTCAACATACTGACTTCGTAGAAATGCGAAATCCATCAATTTGGATGACGTCGCGAAAAAAGCATTTTCCACAGTTAATAATAATTTATTCTCAAATAACAGTTTGTTACATGTGGCATGTCAGTTTACAGGCAAGATCATAATGTTACAGAAGATGCATTCCTCACTGTAGTGGGTTACTCAGTTAGGTTGATATTTTGTAAGGTACATTGATCAGAAAATCACGGGGGGATAACACTTCTCACACATGAATTTAAATAATATTAGCAAGATTCGTATTGTCAATATAACAGTAGGCGCGCTTTATGGAGGTTGCATTGCCACGTGCAACTGATAGTCAGGAGTAAATTTTCCTAAATTTGAGAGCTTTCATAGACCGTGACCTTATACCCCTCTGGAACATTTGAGGAATTAATGATGGTGCAGGACAAAGTCACCCATTCCAAATGCGTGTTAGGTGGCGTACCTCGAGGAGGCTGAAAAGGATGTAAGAAAAAGGAAAGACAAGAAGCAGAATAGACAATGTTGATGGAGGAATAGTTAAGGTATAACTACTTAGTCTCTTTCTCTGATATTCAAGTACTTATCAAGCAAGAGCATTCTAATATGTTAAAGAAAATAAGTGTAAACAAGGTATCAGTGGATAAGGAACTATATAAAAGAAGGTGGTTCAGAAAGAAACTGCACGTATGGGATTATATGTAATTATAAAATATAATGCTGAAAACAGCTTTCTGATGCACAAATGGCTGTCTCCCTTCTTTGTCGAAGCTACTTGAGTCCACTTTTTTGTTTGTAGATTTTATGGCATATTGAGCAGGCATCGTTTTTAGCGAATAGTCTAGTTTGCTTGTAATGGGATTACTCGGTAGTAAGTGAAACCAATTCAGCGTTTTAAACACCATCTAGAAAAGTATTTTGCATAAATAAATCAGCATCCATACCGTTGGTTCGTGACATCCCACTTGACGTAAGGAGCTTCAATTTGACATATCCTGCCTTACAGACACAGGTGGATTGAAGTTATCTCCCCACCATCATGTTTGCTGGTCAGCAACGCCACCCTCCCTCCTCTTTTGGTGTTTGGCTCTCTTACGTTTGCGTTTAGTATGAGTATTGCTTTAACCTAGGCCCATAGTTGGAATACACTGTCTTTACTACTTCCATGTTACAAGCAAATCAGATGGCTAAAGCATTTGTATTATGGGTTAGACATCCATTAAGTTTATCATACTGTTATGAAGATAACTAATGGTGTAAGCTATAAGAGACAGGTCAGATTATATATACTTAAGAGATGGTAAGAACGAACAGTAAATCAAAGGATATGAAAGAGTAGAAAATTGTAAAATTTCCAGGGTAAGAAAAGTAAGACATTAAGCAACTCGCAGAAAATTTAGGACATTTTGAGCTTCTTTTGATCGGCCTTAGTTGATCAGCATCCATGAGATTAGTGAGTTTTCTGTCTACGTGTAATGGAAAAAAGGACATGACACTTAAGAAGAATGATGCAATTTTAAACATTAGAGAGATTCGGAATCTAAAAAAGAGGGTAGGAGCATAAGAGTATGACGAATAATCAATGAATAACGGGTGAGGGTAATCCGCGTGTTCTATCATTTGTTTATATTCATGTTAATGACGATCGGGGCCCACTATACTCATGATCCGTCTAGATATTGGGTGGCCCATAATAAAGTGCTTCATTGGTGAGTTCAGGGAATAATTGATGAGTCTCTTTCATGTCAAGTAAGTGTTATCAGTATTTTTAACTTGGTGATTGTTTCAAAGTTACCGATAGGTATTTTACAATAAACTATATCGCACTGTAAAAAACGTACAACGCATTGGTTTTCGGTGTTTTACTGTAGGCAGTGTATATGCGTTGTTTCTGAGTCTGTAGCCTGGGCCATGAGTCATGGTTGGGCAGGAGGTTAGAAACTTGAGTCGATGTATTGCTTTGTAGAGAAATATTAGATTGCTCCTTAGCCGACAGTACCATAAGGTTTCTAAGGAGAGGTGCACATAACTATCTGCGTAATTAAGAGTGAAGTCACATCCTAGCAGTCGGTGTGTGAAGCGTCTTTGGACATCTTCTCGACTTATCTTGTCTGTGGTATTCATGTTTGAGAAAATAAAAGGGCAATATTTAAGGGAGAGTCATATACATATTTTGTAAAGGGCAGGATTATCTGCTGTAGTGGAGTTTTTCATTATAAAAGCAATTAGCCATCTAGATTTAGAAATAACAAATGAGGCATGTTTTTCAAAGTTTAGGCTTCCTGTGTAATTAATTCCTAGATCTTGTACTGATTTAAGTGTCTGGACTCTACTTTTATTTAAGTAAATTGTAGTTCCTAGTGCTGTTTCCCGAAATGCATGATCATGCACCTGTTGAGGTTAAATGCTAGCTGCCATTTTTGTGTTATTGGGGTCACTTCGAATCTGGGATACACTTTCACTTAGAGCTTCAGGCTTAAAACTGTATACCATTCCGAGATCATCAGCGTATAGGTAGGG